ATATATACATTAATATGTATACACACACACACACACACACACACACACACACACACACACACACACACACACACACACACACACACACACACACACACACACACATATATATATATATATATATATATATATATATATATATATATATATATATATATATATATGTATATATATATATATATATATATATATATATATATGTTATATAAATATATATATATATATATATATATATACATATATATTTATAGAATAATATCCTATAATAAAACAGCTATAATTGAGTTTTTTAAAAGTAAAAACAGAAGCATTTTGTGACTTTGTGAACATTTACAAAAAATACTGTATATTTTGTATAGTATTTTATAAAACTTTTTTTGTTTAGAGATAAAAGGATTTACACATATAAAACAATCTTGTATTATGAGTTTTTAAAACTTTTTATGTTAATAAAATCTTAGCTTATGTGATATTTAATCTTAGGTTTTATAATTTTAGGTTTTAGTTTTTTTTAGTTTTGGCTTTTAAAGTTTGACTGGTAGTACAATGGGCAGGTCAATTGAAATTTATTATAGAAGATGATTTTACATCCTGCATGATGAAAACAACAATAAAACTAAAAACTGAATAAGTTTAAATTTATCACAATATGCATTTCTACTTAAATGTGATACCAGTTGTATAAAAATGGCATATTGTAATAATTCTTAAATACTGTATCATAGTGAAAAATAAAACATTTTATTTAACCGCATTTGATTTTGTTTTTTTGAATAAAAACCTGTAATTTGAGGGAGTAAATTCGATTGGCTGCCTATTCTATTAGAGAAAAACTTAAGATTAGTAGAGATGCCATGCATATTTTAGTTGAGGTCTGGAGCATTGAAGGACTATTTGAAAAAAGTATATGTACATACATGCCCTTAAAGTAATGTTTTTTTCTCTATAGACATATTTTAGACATAATCTTCATGCTATGTAGAATCAGGTGTCTGGAGAAAGTTCTCATTGGTGTTTAATTGAGAAACAGTATAAAAAAACAGTACAATGTATTTTTACATACCATACAAATTTTGTTTTACTTGAAAATATCTTTTGATGAAATCTTTGTAGTTTTACTATATTTTTCTTTGATGCTAATTGTAAAATAAACTGGGATTGCAAAAAATATATTTGTAAAGAGTAAATAGTTCTAGTTATCTACCTTGCTTCATGCATTGCACCTGGAGGTCTTATTTTAATTTCTTTCTCATTATCTCCTCCAAGAAAAATATAAGATATTTCAATCAGTTTCTAATAATTGTTACATAATTTAATTTTTTGCAGTTCTTGATTATTAAATGTAAGCTATTCTTAGGTTGTTGCATTACAAAAATGTTGTGTGGCAATTAACAGCGTAAGCTTCAATAGCAGCAGGATAATTAGTTTTCCAGTTGTCTCTAAATTTTTTGAATATTGAGATATCAAGACTACTTACGACTTGGATTTTGCTTTTAACACACCCAACAAACATTGTTTTAGTGGATTTTCATTGGACCCATACAGGCCCATATTTTTTGTGGTTCATTGGAGTTTTGCTCATCAGTTACTTAATGGACCATTAGTGGCAGCCGCTCTAAGTGGCAAGCCAATAATTTTCCGACATTTTAATAGTGGTTAGTCAACTGTTAGCCACTTTTTGCCACTAATGGTCCACTAAGTTACCAATGAGCAAAACTATAGCTGTATGCTCAAAATGCCTATATAGGTCTACTAAAAACCCGTTATAGCATGTTTGTTGGGACACAATTTAAAACCAGCTTGTAAATGTAATAGGAGCAAAGAGTAGTTATTTCCTGACTAGCTTTTGTTCCATAATTTTACAAGCTTCTTTCAATTGTTCTACAATAGATGCAGTTTTGTCACATTATTTGCAATCTGTCATTGAGGTTCAAGTCATAAAGTTTGTTTAACACAGCTTTTGCTTGAGTCCTTTGTCCTAGCCAGATTAGCTCTTCTGTGTACCAATGTGTTGATTATACAAAAAAACTGAAATGAAGGAAAAATATAATAAATTGCAAAATAATATCAATTATAAAATCAATTTTGAAAACAATCTTCCTAATCGAATTTTAAAATCTGCTATACTAAATTTAACAAATATTAATCTAGATAAGGCAACCACTGAAATACTTAATCTTGGTCCAAAGTTTGTCCCATCACAAAAGAATATCCCTTATATGGATATCATCACTAATATACTAATATTGAAACTTATGCCTTACAACTTGAACAACAAAATAATCAAACACAGACAGAGATTCTTCAACAAAACTGTTAGAAAATCCTAACTAAAGGGTCCGCCAAATAACTTTTTTTTTTTTTTTGAAAATGCTATAAAAAAAAACTACTGAATATTTTCTCAAATTTCTTTTTTGATTTGAAAGTACAATCCCTCCGGTTAAAAATGGAAAATAATTTCATTCAAATGGCTGCCTCGGTTGGCCATGCAGTAGCCTACACGATCAATTTTTAAGCACATTATTGATTGTGTGCAGCTGTATTTCACCAATGGCTTCATGAATATTGTCTTTTAAAGCATCAATTGTGTCTGGCTTGTCAACGTAACACTTATTTTTGAGAGCACCCCACAAATAATAGTCCAACGGTGTCAAATTGCAGCTCCGAGGTGGCCAAATGACATTAGCTCTGCGGCTGATAATGTGATCTTCAAAAACAGGGTGCAAAACATCGAGTGTAGCTTTGGCTGTGTGGCACTTAGCGCCACACAGCCAAATGTTGAAATCAAATGTTGCCAATATCCTCCTCTTCAATTTTTGTGAACAAAAATTTGTTCAACATGGCCCGATAACAATCGCCATTGACTGTAACAGCAACTCTTTGCTCATTTTCAAAGAAAAATGGCTTAATTATGCCTCTGGACCAAAATCCACACCAAACAGTGACTCTTTTTGGGTGTATCGGCTTTTTAATGTATGCATGCGGGTTCCCGGTGCCCCAAATGGACAATTTTGCTAGTTTACATACCCGCCAAGATCAAAATGAGCTTCATCTGAAAAAATGATTTTTTTGGTAAATTCGGCATCTTCTGTAAGTCGATCGCAGGCCCACTCAGCGAAGCAAAAACACATTGGATGGTCAGTTGGCTTCTGAACCAATTGGACTTTGTATGGTGTCATACCAAGGTCATTATGCAAAATTCACCTCAATGATGTCTCCGAAATGTTCAATTGTTGAGAACGAAAGTGAACTGATGTTGATGGCGCTTCACGCACACTTTCTGCCACACCAGCAATATTCTCGGGTGTACAAAATGTTTTTGGCTTTTCGCGCTTTGGTTTATCAATGAGGATGTCAGTTTCTTTTACTTTTTTCACAAGATAACGAATATTCGGAGCTGACGGTGCTTCTCCTCTTCCAAAATCCGTACGCATTTTTCGCACACATTCTGCAACATTACCATGATTTTCAAAGTAATGTCACAATATTTCCCAGCGTTGTTTAAGCGTATACACAACGATATTCGTTCAGTGAAAGGATAAAACTAATTATCTGTGAAATCAGACACGAGCTAAGTGTTACCATTCACGAAATAAGCACTAGTTGAAAAAAAAAACGATAGATGGTGGGCCCTATAGTTCTTTAAAATTAAAACTAAAAGATAATTTAACAAAACAACAATGCTTTTCTTTACAAAACCTAAAGAAACATTCACATCTAAAGATATATCCATTTGACAAAGGAGCAGGTTTTGTATATACGAAAGTATATACAAAACCTTATTATTATATTAGTTATACGAAAATGAAGAAAAAGATAAATTAGAGGAACAAATAAAAAATTGTAAAGTTATTGATTTCGACCCAACACCCACATTCATTACTAAATTGTATTTTTCCTTCATTTCAGTTTTTTTTTCAACCAACATTAAATAAAAATACAAATCGACTAATTAATTCAAGTAGTTTTATCAACGATGCTAAAGAATTGAAGATAGGCCCTAATGAAATTCAAGTTTGATTTGATGTAGTGAATTTATATCCCTCAGAACCAATCGATGAAGCAATACCGGTTATTGTTAACATATTGAACGATGATTTGAAGGATTTAAAAACTAGGACTAAATTAACTCTTTTAGATATACACAGTTAATTAAACTTTCATTAAGCAAATTCATTGAACAAAACCCCTCCATAAAATATACTGTTGAACTTGAAAACAAAAGAAAATAACTAAACTTTTTAGATATTTGTACTACAAATACAATGAACAGATTTTATGAATTTCTGTAAGGATGTGATAACCAATGTTCAAATAAAACCAAACTCTAACATCAATTTAAACATAATGGCGTCTTTAAAGGATTTCTATGTAGAGGAAAACAAATCTTCTCTAAAAAACATCTCTAACAAGAAATTGATTACCTCATAGATACATTCTTTCAAAACAGTTATAACAAAAGTTATCTTATTAAAAGAACTAAAAACTACTTAGACCGCATTTCAAAAAACACTACATTAATACAATTGAATAAGCAATTAGTTAAACTATCATGGATACCTATTATTGGCCCTAAACTCCGAAGAGAATTTAGAAAACAAAACATCAGAGTTATATTTACTTCAGCCCCCAATTTAAATAACATATTATGCAATAACATAACAAAACTACCTTCGAACTCAAATCCGGGTGTTTATGAGCTTCAATGCTCATGCGGAAGTATATATTGGTGAGACCAAAAAGAAAATCACTTCAAGAAGTGCAGAACACCAAAGAGCCTGTAAAAATCAAAAACGGTCGAGTTCAGGAGCTATGGAACATTCTAGAACATGTCGTGGTACTTTTGATCGGCTGAATGCTAAGACCTTGGCTGTCATTCCAGAATACAAGATAAGAAAAGTTAGAGAGTCCTTGGAGATAAATAAAGGAAAAGTTCGACACCAGATAGATATTGGGCAAACTGTTCTAAATAGAGATGACAGGGATAAGGTGAAAACAAAAACTTGAGGATCAATTTTGACAAAAATTTATTTGTCAAATCTATTTGTCAGTCGATTTAGCAGCAATCTTTGCATGTTTTATCTATTTATCAGTTGATAAACATGTAACCAGTTGATAAATTGTGAACAGTAAAAAATTAAAAACATTCAAAATATTTTTGTTTTTATTTAAAAAATGAAAATCATTCCAGCCTATTAATTTGCACATTTGTGATTTTTAAAAAAATTTAATTAATTTTCTCAATCAAATTTAATAGTTATTACATTTTTTTGTGTTCTAATGAACTATCATTTCAAGAAGGAAAGTTAATTCATGAAATAGCTTTATTATGCTTCATAATTCATTCAAAGTTCCAATCCTGCAACAGCATAATGCAACAATCCCTACAACAGCACCTTCTTTAGATATTAAAGCTGTTAATGAAATAGCACAATATTCCAAAGTTAGTTTTAAATAAGCATGTTGCTATAAATTAACTTAAAATCACACTTGGTATTTAAATGAAAGATTTATGGTTATATACCTCGTAGATATATGTTTACATGCAAATCAATTACATAAAATAAATCTTAAATCAGCTCAAACAGCAAAGCCTAGATGGATAATGAGACTAAATTCTGAAAGTGTTATTAAAAGTGATGAAAAAAAAAAATCAATTGAAGATTATATTAGACCTGAAAGCTGGTTTTTCTTTGATTTGTTAAATATGGCATTAAAATAGATGAAAAGGATGAAAATTAGTTTATCGAACTGAGCTTACTTCATAGTATGGAAATGTCACAGTTTTTTGAAAGGTATTCAAGTAAATGAAAGTGCAGAAAGTGCAGAAAGTGCAGAATTTTTTAAATTGATACTTCAGTTTTTGAATGTTTAATTTGAAGAAATTAAAACGATTTAAAGAATAATTTGCATAAATTTCAATTTTGCCTGAAATTTCTATATTTATATTAAAATTTTTTTCTTTTTTAAAGAAACATAAAACCTACATTCACAATGATTTGTGTATTTTATTTGTTAATGCGACACAATGATCGCAAAAAGTGACTAATGAAGCCGTTCAGTTTTGTAGACTTGAGAAATGTGATAATAAAAACAGTTGGAAGATGGTATTGTTAAATAAAAAATAAAATTCATAAGAAAATATAAAATGAGTGGTGAAGGTGAAGAACGAAGTTAAATGCTTGGCTGGCAGGGGAAAAAAACAACTAACACTTTAGATACTCTGTGTGTAAATCATATGTAACTGATCTGATGTGCATTGATGAGCTTCCGACTGAACGTGTGTCAGCCTAGTCACTAGGTTATTGATCACTGTAACCACATCCAGCAGGATAGCCTAATGTCTATTTTGTTGTTGTGGTGTACATTGGAAAAATTTTATTATTTACATTAAAAAAAAATATTTTAAGAAACATAAAACCTACATTCATTATGATTTGTGTATTTTGTATAGATTCATTAAATAAATGTATTGAATTAGGAAGAATAAAACCATTGTTATTGGCATCAAATGAACCAATAGAAATATTACTTAAATCACTTGATAAACTTTTTATTAGATCAAATGTAAATTGACTTGTTTGACCAATGGTCGAGTTTTCACCAGACACTTTGTAAAACTGTACCGCATGAAAATAGCTTTCCAAGGACTTAAACAAGTTTGTTGCCACAAAATCTGAATGTTCCTATTAAAAATATATATTTTGGATTAAATAAATAAAAACAAAAAAAGGTATTAAAAAAAAATAAATTAATAAATATTTTTTAGGTTTAGCATTTTAATTTTTAAATTAAAATGACAAAAGTGGTAAAACTTTTCTTTTATTACTAATAAATTTGTAAATCTTTTTATTAATTTATATAGACATAAATAAATATAAAAATAAAAATAAATATATTTGTTTAAACTTCCATTAATTATTTTGTATCTAGATATGTTGATAAATGGTAAAATAAAATGTTCAAACTTTCATAGATGTTGTTGGAAAAGGATTTAGGAAAAAGTTTTGAGAAGTTCATTGCAAGTCATTTCTTAAAATTTGATATAAAACCTCCTATTTTCAATATTTTTATTTTACAAAATAACTATGAAAATTGAAAGAAGATCATGATTGGATTCTGCATAACCATGTGATTCTGTAGTTTATACGCATAGTTTTGTAGTAATTTATTTGTTTTACATTAAATCAAAAGTGCTACCTTCCAAAAATAAACAAAACTAAACTGTTTTAAAATTAAACTAAATTGATTTACAATTAGAATTAATTTTGCAAAAAAAGTTAAAATCAGTAACTATCTATATTAGGGTAACTCAAAATAAAGTTCATGTCAGAATTTAAAAAAAAAGTCCTAGCTTATGATCTACCCTGACCCTAAATTATTATTGAATTTTTTTTACAAAATGTAAAAAAATAACCCTACTGAGGGCAAAAGGGTCAATTCTTGCCCTGTTCTTCGGAAAAAATTACCCCACTTGTGGAACCCTTAAATCTCAGCAAATTTAAAAAGTAAAGAACTCAATAACATGATCATGAGTTCGACTAATTAATTTTAAGGAACTTTTTTCTTTTATAAACATTCAAGGCATTTTTTTTTAAGAAAAAGCAATTATCTTATGCTTAATTTTTGTGTATAACTTTATATTTGAAAAGATAATTTTGCTAACCAAAGTTTGTTTTAAATGAAGAATGAAAGATTTTTAATAAATAAAAAATATCATTTCAAAATTAAAACTAAATTTTATATGATTCCTTTATTTATGATAGATTGTTATTTATTTAATTATTTACTTACATAATAAATTATATTTAAACATTTACTTTTAGATTAACATAAAGTATTAATAATTTATAATATGCCAGCCAAAAAGAAAATTAAAGTTGATGATACTATTCTAGTGGGAAAGATAAACTGTAGTATTCCCAACAACGAACAAAAGCGGATCATTCTCACCAAGCTGTCCAATCAGTCAGTTACCTTTCTGCATAAGATTTAAACTTGTAGTTCAATGAAGGCGTTGTAGCTTTGAAGATATTACAAAACAGAAGCTAAGGTAATAATAGATCAGACTGTATAACCAAATTAAAAAAGTAAAATGTTTTTTAATAGTGAAGGACTAGATGAAGCTGAAAAGCTTAAGTAAAAAAGACAATCCTGCTGAAGTGAAAAAGAGAAAAAATGTTAAAGAAATATAAAAAATAGTTTTCTAGATTAGAGAAAACCCAACAGATTTGATTGAAAAAATAAGGAAAGAAACCAAAGTGAGGAAAGTAAAGGAAAGGAAGTTTAGGTAGTTTAGATAAAATATTTCAGTATTCATTAATTAGAAAGTATAAATCTGAATGTAATTATAATAAATTAGAAAATGTATCTGATACAGATTTTGAAAATTTAAATTCTTTTAATACCAATAAAAGCATTGATAAATTGTCACAGAATTTACAAAAAACTTGTAGGAATTTTTTTTTTTTGCTAGCTGTTTTTGCCAGGATTAAAGGAAAAATCAAGTACTTTGGAATTTCAACTGTTGACTCTTTAGCTTTGTTTTGGAGAACACTAAAAATAAAATATAGCAAAAAAATTTTCTAAAAATATAATCTTTCTGTACTAAAATGTAGAAAATAAACTTTTTAATTTAAATTTAATAGTTCCGTAAACTAAAGATTGACAGGTATGTTTCTAAATAAATATTTCTACTTTTTAGTACAAAAATATTAAATTTATTAGCAAATGTTATTGCTATATTCTATTTTCTTCTTTTTAGTCTTTACAGAGAGCCATGATTTTTAGCAATGTCAAGACATTTGAAAGTAATTTGAACTTTTTATCCTTATTAAAGAAACGGAGTATTTCCTGATTAAAAGGGACAACTAAATCGGCGCAAATTTCATAAGTGCAAACTAGCATAAGTACAAACTGGCATGTTTGCAAATTGGCATAAGTGTGAACTGGCTTAATTGCAAAGCATTTACAAAAACTGGCATAAGTAAGCCAAAAGAATTCGCAAACATTGACATAAGTTCGAACTGGCATAAGTACGCCAAATAAAATTGAAAATATTAGCATAACGCAAATTGTTATTTCGCTCTTATGCCAATTCGCACTTATGCTAGTTCGCACTTATGCCAATTCGCTCTTATTAAGCCTCCTGGATTAAAGGAGCAGAATATATTTTTTTAAGGATAAAATTTTTTTATGTAAAAGTAAAATAACATAAAGTACAAATATTTCATTTGCATTGCCACCCAAATCCTCCAACATATGTAATAGATTTTTATATTAATATTAGACAAAATTATGTTGTAAGTTATAATTTTCAATTTTATGTAAAAAAAAAATTCTTTCAAAAAGAAAGTTTAAAAAAAAGATTTACAAAAAAAAATACAAACCCACAAGCAATATTAGCTGATATATAAAAAAAAACATTTATTAATGAATAAAGATTACTTTTTAATAAAAAGCAAACCCGCAAGCGGTTTAGAAGCAAATTTCTATATAAAAGGTTAGTTTTTATGTGTCCCGTAGATGACAAGAAAGTTGAGGAAGAGTTCATATCAAGTGTAGGAAAAAAACACATCTAAACTTCTCTTTAGTATTTGTGTCAATAAGGTATGCACCATTCGTTTAGCTTGATGATGTTGAGTTAAATTTACTAAAAAAGCAATTTATAATATAAATTTCTTTTTTTTGCGGAATAAACAAAAAAAACTTGACCTTAAAATTGTGTTAATAAGGTAAGCCTGTAGATAGGCTTTGTAAGAACTTTAGTTTGCAACTGCCAGCTTAGCTATGGCTAGTTATGCTGGTGCTGTTATCAGGCAAAATAATAGAATGGAATGTGTTTTAGACATGAACGTATATATGGATCCCACAATTGGGTTTAAACGTGATTATCAAGAAAATCGACCAGAAGAGCTATACCAAAAAATTACAGAGATAGTTGGAAAAAATAAAGTAAATTCACTTACATACAACACAAGAGGAAATTGGGTTCTGGAAATGAAGTCAGCCGAAGACGCACTACGTTTTAGTGAAACAAACTTTCAAATTTCTGAATGTAAAAGCTTTATAAACACTAACATCCGAAGCGAAGTAGGCCTATTAATAACTATAAAATGTGACCCGCTCATCGAGGACAATAAAATTCTAAACAGAATGAAACCATTTATTTGCGATCTTTACTCGATAAAACACACGACGTATCGTTTTGAACGTAATCTCAAAGATGGTCGTAGACTTTTCTGAATAAAGCTAAATGAAATCCCACACTTAATAGAAATTGATGGAATCAATATTGCTCTAGACTTTGGAGGGAAATCTTTCCTTTGTAAAACATGCGGCAATTCTCACCCTCCCCAACAACGATGCATTTTACAAAAAGAATCCTCAAAAATAATCAAAAACACAACAGAAAAACCTAAAGAAAAAAAACGGCCTCTCAAAACAAATAAAAATATATGCACAGAAAAGGAGATCGAAATTGAAAACATTACATCTGGTAAAAAACTAACTGACAGCAAAATACCTATCAGTGTCCCAGTTGAACCATGCTTTCAAATCGTGAAAAGCCGAAATCAAAAACGCGAAGAAAAAACTAATAAACAAAAAAGAAACAGCGAAAGTCAAAGCGGCGTTGAAGAAGGCGAGTTGTTTGAACTAAAAAACGACCAAAATTTTTTTAAACAGAAAAGCTCTGCCGACTCCTCATAAGGAAACTTCAAAAAGAATCCCAAGACAAAGGGCAGTATGAAAACATTTTTATTTTTATTTTATATTATTGAACCGTTTTTTATTTTTTACGAAAATAACTATTATAACTTAAGCCATCTGCAATCTTTCACACCTCATCTATTCATTATTGTCATATCCGGCACAAAATACCACAAACTTGCATTATCATTAAAAATGGAAGCAATACAAATATTCTCAGTAAACGTTTGCGGTCTCAATGACCAAACTAAGCAAGATGTAATTATTAATAACTTTAAAACAATGAATTTCGATAGCTTTCTACTCCAAGAAACGCATTTAAATAAAAAACAAGCTGATAACTTTATTTCAAAATGGCAAAATCTGGGTTTTTACTCTCAAGGGGAATCCCATTCTAAGGGAACCTTAACTTTAATTAATACAGGCAAAAATAATTTAAAAAGAGTTAAACACTTTGCGGATGATTATGGAAGGTTTAATTATGTCATCATGGAAAACCAACTAAATAAATTTCTTATAATAAACGTTTACAAAAATTCCGGATCAAGTTATCTACAAGAGCAAGAAAGAAAAAATCTATTTATTAACATCGCAAAAAAATTTAAAAAAATTAAAAACCAAAACTTTATAACCATATTAGGAGGTGATTTTAATATGGTTCTCAATCAAATTGATCGCTATCCCCAAATTAATCGAAAAAAATGTTTATCAACAGAGTCCTTTAAAACACTATTAAAAATTTTAAATGTTGAAGATACATGGAGAAAATTTAATCCCATCAAACTCGAATACACATACAAATCCACTAACAACGTAACCTTTTCACGCCTCGACAGAATTTATTTAAGTAATCACATGCGCCAGCATACTGACATAATGCATGAACCTATGACACACTCTGACCACCACAATGCAGTTTATGCTAGCATCAAAACAAACAATTTAAAAATAGGAAAAGATGTGTGGGTTTTAAATA